CCAAGCAGCATCAGAGGAGCAGGGAAGCTGACGTTTCAGGTCTGGACGCTTCTTCAGAAAACCATCCAGCTCTACACCTTGTTATCTCAGATTCTCCAGTGTCGGCAGTTCCTACTATCTCCGTACTGAGATTGCTGCCTTGGCGGGATACCAGCCCATTTCCATATGGATTCACACTCAATGTGACCTTGAATCTGGTTTCCAGAGACAACCGTGGTGAAGAGTGATACAAGATATTTTGGTATTGGGTGGTGGTTGAGTGGTTTGTCACAGAGCTGTACGTAAAGTATTTCCCTGAGCTTCAATTTCCTGAGGAGGTGTTAATCAAGCAGGCTGATTTGTCCTGTATGGTGTTAAGCTTCTTGACTGATGTTGGAGCTGTACTCATTCAGTATTCCATGATTGCACTCTTGCGTTGTGCCTTATAGATGGTAGACAGGTGTTGGGGAATCAAGAGGTTAGTTATTTGCTGCAGCATTTCTAACCTCTGACTTGTTCTTGTAAACACAGTATTTAAATGACTAGTCCAGTTCAGTTTCTGATCAAAGCTGATCCTAGGATGTTGACAGTGGGTGATTCAGTGATAGAATTTCATTGAATGTCAAGGGGTAATGATTAGTGTCTCTCTTGTTGGAGATGGTCATTGTCTGTATGTATAAAGACTGTTTCTATTGTAGAGTATTTTTTTTAAATTGTGGACTAAAATGAGAAAAGAATTGTTTTAAAACAGGAATTGCAAGGATTGCTGCATAGTTTGAAAGCAAGTAAATTGATATTCATTGTGAAGCCGGTTTGTACTGCTGTGGATTACAGCAATGATTGCTGACAAGCTGGAACTGAAGGGTTGTGTACAAATGGAGCTTTGACTGGCCACAAGATTGGTTTGTGAACTAGCGACCAGTTAACAGTGACAAAGGTCTTCTACATGCCACCAATTCTAATATTGGCTCTCAGGAAGCTGAATAACCTGGGGCTATGACCAAGATACAGAGGGAGTTTATAAGGGCAATAGAGTTTAATTAGAGGTATATGCTTGTGATTCATAATTGTTAATCTGTATCTAGAGTCAAATTATTTGTAATAAGTTGTCATTTCATTAAGTACAGAAACCTGGTCTATGCCTCCTGTCAGCCTGGGTCCAAAAGATAGAGGTGGGGCATTTTGTGTGCTTTTAAAATCTTTAACTTTTGCAAGAACTCTGGGAATAGCAGACTTGATTTCCAGTGTGCTAGACCACTGAGTCATTACACATGATTCTTGTGTTGCATGAGTGCTGCTTGGCACTTGTCAGCCCAGATCTGGATATTGGGCATGGCTGTGAAGAGTCACAACTGGTACTGAACATTGAGCTACCATCAGCAAACATTCCCATTTCTGACCATATGATGGGGGCATCATTCTTGACTAATTTCTCCAATATATTTTGTTTGGTGATATTAATTACTTCAGTTTCCTCGTTTTTATTCAGCTGTTGATTATCCTGTATTTCTGACACAAGATTTGAATCTTCTACTTTGAAGCTAGACACAAAGTATTTGTTCATTAAATCTTGACTGATACTTCATTTTACGTTTATTAAGCATGGAGTCAATGAGAGCAAGATTTCTACTGTTTCAAGAAATAAGTATAAGGGCTTTTGTACTTTATCCTTGTAAGTTTAAGACAAAATACATGCTGGTTCGGGAAAAGCAAATTTGAGTTTTATTTTGCTTCTAAAAATTGTATTTGAGCAGTAAGCACTAATTCACACATTTGCTACTGTGTCCCTCGCATTACCGTCTTCTTAAAATATGATCAAAAACGTCTGTAACTAAGATCCATAACTTGTCAAAAGAAATTTGTATTGAAAACTCAGAAGGTAATGGCTGAAAGAGTGGCAAATTTCACATTTAAAGACATTTTTCTGTAATGAATTAAAAACCACCGTTGACCACTATTTTCCTGATCGATAGGTGACTTAGTTTAAACTACAAGAACTGATATTCCCATTATACACCCATCACATATCACATTCTACAAGCATTGCAGTCATTTTCGCAATGGGATCACAGTTGCTCCCAGCATCCAATGGGTTACCATTAACTTACTTGTTGAGTGGTAACTTCGAGTAACCATTTGCAGGCACTTTAGTCAGTTTACTGTACAGCTGGTTCTGATATAACGCAATAGTCCTGTTCTCGTGTGATCTCATGTTGTAAGAAAATCACGCAATAACTGCAACGTTTAAAGTGACATGGACGGAATCGCATTACAGCTAAAAAAAAAAACGATATGGAAAGTTCGCGTTCTACAAATAGCATTCTATAATTCTTCAATCGCATTAAAACAAATTCACATTGAAGAAACATGCATTATATGAGAACCGACTGTAAAAGAAGGGTCTAGGCCGAAACGTCAGCTTTCCTGCTCCTCTGATGCTGCTTGGCCTGCTGTGTTCATCCAGCTCTACACCTTGTTATCTCTGTAATTTCTTAAGTCCAGTATCAGCAGGAAAACCTGTCCCAATGAGTCTTCTTCCTGCAGCCATGCTCGGGGACACATCCTTTGAAAGTTGTAGGATTGTCCCTTCATCTAGAGACTGTCTTCCTCCAACAATTGACAATGGTAACCTTGCAGAGTCAAGCAGCCCTTTTTACCTCATGAACTAACGGAACTGCTGTTTACTTGCGATATTCACTGTTCTCTAGAGAGACATTTAACTGATCCCAAAAATGTCTTGCATGTGCCATTTTTTTATTTAACCTATTTTTCTAATCAATCTGTTCATAGATGTTATTACATACCTCTGGAGCAGGTAGGACCTTAACCCAGGCCTCCTGATCCAAGGGGAGGCACACTATCACTGCACCACAAGTGAGCCATATTCCCCATTCTATTATTCAAGCTCATCAGCCTTGTTTTTCTGTAGAAATTCTAATTAGTGGTGTGGATCCTATTCCTTTTTAATTTAGAAGTAATTGGACAGATTACAGCACAAATATTTACAACCCAATATTCAACATTTTATCCAGTGCCTTTCTGGCACTTTGGGAGTCTGTTCATTGCAAACACAGAGACTGCTGCATTATCTCTAAGTGTAAATACCTTGTACTTTGATCCAAATTTTTAAAAAATCTAAACTTTCCTTTGAAGTCCAATAATCAAATCACCCAGACTTACTGTAAGGCTGACCTGAGAACAGGCTATGTGACCCCTTCAATTCGACTAAATTTTACAGAACCAAAACATGATAACTTTGTGAAAGTTAATGTGTGCTCCCTCACTGAAAGGTGGGAAAAGCACTGCTTGGACGTACTTAGACAGCTCTTGAATCCTGCCTCTTGTTACTATCTACCCCTATCTCTTGCTGCAACCACACAAAAAGTAAAACTGTGATGGAATCAAGGAGGAATTGCACAATTCCATCAAAAAACTAGAATGAATGAACTGAAAAAGTCCAGTCCTGTACTTTATAAGATTGTATCTAAATCTAAGAATTTAACAAACTTGACCAGCCATTACTGATCTACAAACTTAAATGCAGAATGCAGATGCAGTGGATAGAATTTTTATTTTTATTCCGTAAATTAAGGAAACCTGCATTTTGCAATGTTTTGAAATTATCTGTATTTTGAAATGTTCACAAGTGTGCAAACTTTTATATTTTATAGATTATTTTTATTTTAATGATTGTTTATGCCAGATATGAAGTAGGATTGCTTGTTTTATTGGACCCATCGTCACAACTCAACACATGCCACCAACTTCAATAAAGCAATTATCCATTTAACCACGCAACTTAACAAAAGGTTCATCATTAATGACTGTTTAAGAAATTTCCTGAGCTTCAGCCTACTTTAGCCAAGCAATATTGTTTTCAAAATCCTGGTTCTGAAATATAGTGGTGACAGTGCCTGTGTTTCTTGTTTCACAGGGGCTGGAGGGAGAGGATGATGGTGCTATTAGCATGCTTTCTGATAATACCGCCAAACTCACATCAGCAGTCAGGTGAGTATCAATGCAAAAAGTAAGTGCATTTTCAGTGTTAGAATTTTTAGACCAGCCTTTTGAGACATGGTCTTTTTTTTATTAAAAATGCTATTGCAGATTTCGGTGCCCAGATAGATGAAAAATGTTCTAAGATTAAGAAAGATACATTTTCGCCAGATGTGTGGATTGACAGGAACATCTTTTTTGGTCTCAATGTTGTTGCATTAAATAGCAACAGGGAGTTATGACTTTGAACCAGGTTGTAGCACATTGACCTAATACTTTAGACTTAATGCATGACCAGGCTGAAGTTCAGCCCTGTTGTTTCCCCTGTATTACAATCTCTGTGGTGAGTGATTACCTTTAAAAAGATATTCAAATTTCTAGTTACAAGCTGAAAGAATGACATTTCCCAATTTAGAGATGTTTGCTGGGACAAATGTAACACTCTTAACTAAATATTATTTGTAGGTAACTTCTAAACTACAGAAAAGAACGTTTTACTTTGAAACTAATGTCAAATTGCCATCTTGACATATACAGACCACAGATGCTCCAGTTTTTATTGAGTGTTCAATCATCCTGTTTCACCAAGTAGTAACTTGAGTGACTCTCTCCAGGCAATTTAAGCAAAATTCCTTGCATCTCCCATCAGCAGTGTAATCATTTGATGGCTCTTCTTCCTCTAGTCACATAAGGATGAATTTTCCAGAATCCTCAGGATGTATCTTTGACTGGTGATTGGCTTCCTCTCACATCTGACTGTGGTAGCTTGTAAAGCCGAGCAGTACTTTCTTGCCAATGACTGCACCAATATCTTTGTTGTTCATTTATTTTTTGGGAACTTTGCAACCTGATCTCAAAAATGCCCCTGTCTTCTTCCACAAAGCAATTAGAAACAAATTATGGAAGTATCTAGGTAGAACTGCTATTTAGCCATCCTTGATCCTAACTCCCTTTTTCTTTGATTTGATTTGATTTATTGTCACATGTACCTAATTGCAGTGAAAAGCTTTGTTTGCTAGCAGTACAAGGAAATCAAAGTAAGCAAAGACATACAGATCATAGGGTGAAAAACACACTTGGACACAGTAAGGCACACAGGATGTGTGCTAGGCAAGATCAGTATTAACAAGATCAGCATTATTTGAAGTTAGAGAGTCCTTTCATCAGTCTAGTAATGGCAGGGACGAAGCTGTTCTTGAGCCTGCTTGTGCATGTGTTCAAGTATCTGTATCTTCTGCCTGATGGAAGAGGTTACCGGGATGAGATGGGTCTTTGAAGATGTTGGCAGCCTTTCTGCTGCAACAAGGCGTGTAATGTCCATGGATGGGAGGTTGGCTTCCGTGATGGTCTGGGCTGTGGACACCACCTTCTGCAGCTTCTTAGGGTTCTGGGCACAGCAGTTGCTATACCAGGCCGTTGTGCACCTGGACAGTATGCTTTCTGTGGTGCATCTGTAAAAGTTGGTGCGGATCCTTATGGATATGCCAAGTTTCCTAAGTTGCCTGAGGAAGAAGGGGTATTGATGTGCCTTCTTGACTGTCACATCTACGTGGGAAGTTCAGTACAGGTTGTCAGTTATCATCACTCCTCGGAACTTGACGCTGTCAGTCCTCTCAACCTCTGCTCCATTGATGTAAATGGGGGCGTGTTCTCCTTCTTTCTTCCTGAAGCCAATGATCAGTTCTTTAGTTCTGCCATTATCATTGTACCATGTCACAAAGCCTTTTATCTCCTTTTTGCATTCTGCCTCATCATTGTTTGATACCCATCCTACCACGGGGTGTTGACAGCAAACTCGTGGATGGCTTTTGTTCAGAATTTGGCAACATAGTTGTGGGTGTACAGGGAGTACAGTGGAGGGGGGAGGGGGCGCATCCTTGAATGCTCCAGTGTTGAGTGTTATCATGGAGGAGGTGCAGTTGTCTATCTTCACTGAATATAGTAAGTAAATGTGCCGTTTATGGCACAACTGTTATAACCCAGTACTTCAACACTTTCTAGAGCTTTGGGAAACTCAGTCTACCTATTCTAAGCTCAGGACTGCTGCCGTGGTTGTTATGTATTAATACTTTGTAACCTCTTCCTAGTAAATCAATCCAAACCTTTGTTTGATCTGTAACAATCAACCCACCCAGGCTTACTGTCAGACAGATTGCTTTACAATAGGCTACATGAACCCCTTCAGTTACCCTACATTTGCAGATACAGTTGCAAAGCATAATCTTATTCTGATTTCTAACAAATGGACCATAATACTTAGACTCTCTTCCTCAGACATGTTGGGACAACACCGAAGTCACAAATCTTGCTGCAATAAAATGTGCACCTTCTTCAAAAACAATAAGAAGTTACTGTCATTTTTCCATAAAATTGTAAAGCACCTCTGAACATAATATTCTCCTGATACCTCCTGCCACAAGCTTATTTATCTCTTTACCACTGCATGGATGC